ATCTGCTGTATTCCCCAGACATCTGGTAAACACAAGTGATCCTCTGGCCTCAGCCTCCCCAATGGCCAGGCTACAGCATGCGCCACCATGCCTGGCTGGAACCAAAAGTTTTGAGTTCCTTGCCTGATAAGTGCCATTAAGAAAAGTAAAAATGTTAATATCTGGGACATTTCCATTTAGTTATGGCTATTTCTTTAAAAAATATTTTGTTTTAGTTGTAGTTAGACACAGTACCTTTATTTTATTTTTATGTGGTACTAAGGATCAAACCCAGCGCCCCGCACGTGCTAGGTGAGCGCTCTACTACTAAGCCACAACCCAGCCCAGTTATGGCTATTTCTAATGTAGTTAAACTTCCTTATTCTGGAGAGAAAAATCTAAATGGGCCTGACAAGGTGGTTCCCACATGCAATTTCGGCTACTTGGCTGCTACATCGATGTAGCAGTGTCCCTGTAGCATGCTCTTTTTAGGTCTTTAGGGAATAGACCGAGAAGGGGAATAGCTGGGTCAAATGGTGGCTCCATTCCCAGCTTTCCAAGAAATCTCCATACTGCTTTCCAAATTGGCTGCACCAATTTGCAGTCCCACCAGCAATGTACAAGTGTACCCTTTTCCCCACATCCTCGCCAGCACTTGGTGTTGTTTGACTTCATAATGGCTGCCAATCTTACTGGAGTGAGATGGTATCTTAGGGTGGTTTTGATTTGCATTTCTCTGACAGCTAGAGATGGTGAGCATTTTTTCATGTACTTGTTGATTGACTGTATGTCCTCCTCGGAGAAGTGTCTGTTCAGGTCCTTGGCCCATTTGTTGATTGGGTTGTTTGTTCTCTTATTGTCTAATTTTTTGAGTTCTTTGTATACTCTGGATATTAGGGCTCTATCTGAAGTGTGAGGAATAAAGATTTGTCCCAGGGTGTAGGCTCCCTATTTACCTCTCTTATTGTTTCTTTTGCTGAGAAAAAACTTTTTAGTTTGAGTAAGTCCCATTTGTTGATTTTAGTTATTAACTTTTGTGCTATGGGTGTCCTATAGAGGAATTTGGAGCCCGACCCCACCGAATGTAGATCGTAGCCAACTTTTTCTTCTATCAGACGGCGTGTCTCTGATTTGATATCAAGCTCCTTGATCCATTTTGAATTCACTTTTGTGCATGGCGAGAGAAAGGGATTCAGTTTCATTTTGTTGCATATGGATTTCCAGTTTTCCCAGCACCATTTGTTGAAGATGCTATCCTTCCTCCATTGCATGCTTTTAGCCCCTTTATCAAATATAAGATAGTTGTAGTTTTGTGGATTGGTTTCTGTGTCCTCTATTCTGTGCCATTGGTCCACCTGCCTGTTTTGGTACCAGTACCATGCTGTTTTTGTTACTATTGCTCTGTAGTATAGTTTGAAGTCTGGTATCGCTATACCGCCTGATTCACACTTACTGCTTAGCATTGTTTTTGCTATTCTGGGTCTTTTATTTTTCCATATGAATTTCATGATTGCTTTCTCTATTTCTACAAGAAATGCCGTTGGGATTTTGATTGGCATTGCATTAAACCTATAGAGAACTTTTGGTAATATCGCCATTTTGATGATGTTAGTTCTGCCTATCCATGAACAGGGTATATTTTTCCATCTTCTAAGATCTTCTTCTATTTCTCTCTTTAGGGTTCTGTAGTTTTCATTGTATAAGTCTTTCACCTCTTTTGTTAGGTTGATTCCCAAGTATTTTATTTTTTTTGAAGATATTGTGAATGGAGTGGTTGTCCTCATTTCCATTTCAGAGGATTTGTCGCTGATATACAGGAATGCCTTTGATTTATGCGTGTTGATTTTATATCCTGCCACTTTGCTGAATTCATTTATTAGCTCTAATAGTTTCTTTGTAGACCCTTTTGGGTCTGCTAGGTATAGAATCATGTCATCTGCAAATAGTGATAATTTAAGTTCTTCTTTTCCTATTTTTATGCCTTTAATTTCTTTCATCTGTCTAATTGCTCTGGCTTAAATATTCTTATTTCATTATGTTCAATAACTTCAGGTCATTTGGATAACTGGGATAATGAATAGGTAAATAATTTCAATAAACTAGTGTGTATTATTTTTCTTGTATAATCCTTTTTTAAAAAAATATATTTTTCCCCCAAAGCATTATCATTCCTGTATGACTTTCACAACAATGCTGTGAGGTTGATGACTTTATTTCATTCATTCAATATATATTTTTTGAGCATTCATGACATGCCAAGTGCTGTTGTAGGTACTAGGGATGCACACCAAACAAAACAGAAAAAAACATTCTTGCCCTTAGGAATTTGTTTTAGTGGGAGGAGACAAAAGATTATCCCTTAAAAATTTTTATAGGCATCTTGTTAGGTGTGGTGGTGCATGCCTGTAATCCCAGCAGCTTGGGAGGGTGAGGCTGGAGGATTGTGGATTCAAAGCCAGCCTCAGCAATTTAGCTAAGCCCTAAGCAACTCAGCAAGACCCTGTCTCTAAATAAAATACAGAAAAGGGCTGGGGATGTGGCTTAAGTTAAGTGCCCCTGAGTCAATTCCCACCAAAAAAAATCAAATCAAATCAAATAAAAAAATACACACACACACACACAAATATACATATACACACACATACATATATATAGTTATAGGCATAAAAACAAGTAAAGTACATAGAACAAAATTAAAATGGCATAAAGAGAGTATGTAGTGAAAGCAGGTCTCCCTACTGTTATTCTCCCCCCATCCTCTCAGATTTCCTGCCTAACAGATATCCTGCCAAGTTTCCCAACTACTATTACCAGTTTATTTTATATCCTTATAGAGATATTCTAGAAATATATAATCATACTTGTAATTATACTTTTTCTCCCCACCCCCCAAACTTGGATGGCAACTTTCAATATATACTGTTCTTTGAGTTTTTTTTCTCACTGAACATTATGTTGAAGATTATTCTGTATAAAGCTACTTCTTTCTTTTTAATGGCTACCTAGTTTTCCAACATAGAGCTGACCCATAATTTGATCTACCTTCTCTTGCTAAATATATACATTTAGGTTGTTTTTAGAATTCTGCTGTTTCACAAATGTCTTATAAAGGTAGCATTTTGACTGCATTCAAGTATTTATTCAGATACATTTATGAAAATGAAATTGCAAAGTGAAAGGGTACATATATGTGTTGTTTTTTGATAGATATACTGAAATTGTTCTCCATAGTATTGTACCAATTTATACTCCTGTCAGAAATAGGTAAAAGTGCTTATTTTCCCCTCCAATCATAGGTGTTATTAAGTTTTCTATATCAGTTACTTAACACAAGGCTTAAAGAGATTAAAAAAGAATCACTTTATAAACTATTGTTTACTTGATTTACTTAATGTTATTCTTATGCATAAAGTATATTTGAGAAATTATGAATTAACAATGGCTAGATTGACAGGTTTTTATCATATTAGAAAGTGAAACAACAGATAGTATTAGTCTGTTGTATACTGTAAATGCTGTCCCTCCCTTTTTTGAGAGACAGTTACTAGTTTGTTTTTCTGACCTAAGTGCCATTTAAGGTTTTTGAGATATGAAGCATTAGAAATGGGTTAATGTAAGTATTAGGACCTGAGTAGGCTTTGGTTATACTGGTCAAATGTTGAAGGAAAATATTAACTATTTCTAAGGAAATCTTATATCAAGTGTTTTAGTATGCTTACAAGCACACATTCATTAAGACATTCAAACTATTACAAATATTGTCCTTGTTGCTATTAGCAATAAACATGGTATTTGGAGGTAAAACAGAAGTATGGTTGACACATAGATGTTTATAGTGGGAAAGTAGAACCCAGTGGTTAAAAGCATGGGATTTGGAGTAAGAAAACCCTGGATTCACTAGCTGTGTTCTTTCCTAAGCTGCTGTTTCTTCACATATAAACAAATTAATACTAGTCCCTAACATCCTTGGGTTTCCGAGGATTAAAAAAGTTAATGTATGTAAGAGAATGACTTAGTGCCTCGCATGCAGTAAGTACTGAAACAAATGGTGAGTCCTAGGATCGTAACCAAGCATTCTGATTATTGGCTGAGATCAGGCCTTTCTTTATGGGAAGCCAACAGCCACAGTAGGAAAACCCTGAAGGTCGGCATGTAGCTGGAAACATTGAAATGCATCCTCCATTTAACCTTTACTCATCCTCTGGTTTTTATTGTAGATAAAAAATAGAACATTTTTTGTTTGTTTGTTTCAGGATTTAATTTTTATAGTTTCCATGCCTATTTTAAACAGAGCTATGATTTTGTTTTGTTTTGTTCAGTACTGGGATTGAACTCAGGATTGCTATGCCCAGCCCTTTTTTAAAATTTTGAGATAGGTTCTCAATTTAGTGACCCTACCTTAAGATAAAAAATGAAAAATAAGGACCCTTCCTAGGGCCCCTTCTTCCTTCTAAAATAATCTCCCAGTTTCACTCATATTTATGAGACTAATGCTTTTGTTTATTTAAGATGGTATTAACAAATACCACAAATAAATAATGCCGAAAGTGAAAAAGAATATCTGTTGGTAACCTGAATGATCTCTAAGGGCACAGAGCAGTATCTAAATCACACTTTGAAAGCCACTGCTACAGAGGTCGGGGGCTATAGCTCACTAGTAGAGCACTTACCTGGCTTGCATGAGGCTCTAGGTTTGAATTCCTAGCCCCACAAACTAAATAAATAAATAAGTAAATTGGTATAAACAAGCTGACATGTAGGATCTTTAGTATGGTTTCCTTCATATTATTTTGCATCTGTACTTCTAATCCCTTGTAAACAAAGCTATTAAGTTAGGTAAAGAAATTAGATCCTATAGTTCTAAATAATGTATAAGCAATTTTCTTCCTGAAAACGTTTATCTTACCACAAAGCATGAAAATGTTAAAAGATTTCAGAAGAAAATTGTTTTCATTATTTTGAGGTACTTAAAACAATCAGAAAATTAGGCATAAACAAAATTCTTTTGTTCATTTTTGCAGGTGTCCCATGGAATTTTACATTCAATGTAAAGTTTTATCCACCTGATCCAGCACAGTTAACAGAGGACATAACAAGGTAAATAATTAATCTATAGTTAAATTTGTAACAGTAATTGTCATAATCATTAACTCTGGAAATTTTCCTACTCAGAATTGAAGAAAAGTGATAAGATGTTAAATGAGTAGCCTAAGATAAAAAGTTTCTGGCCACTTTAAGGCAGATTTGCAAATAAGGGAGCTAAAAAGCCTCAAGTTTCTGATCTGCTTTGGAAGAAACTGACAGAGGAGCTAATAGCCTTGCTTGTTATGATATTATGCCAAGCAGTGGGCAGGGCTCCTCTAAGTCACGTTACATGAATGGACTGTTGAGTGGCTCCGCTAGGTCTTTTTTTTTTTTTTAATTGCTTTTATTTTTTAAATACATAACAGTGGAATGCATCACAATTCTTATTACGCATATAGAACATAATTTGTCTTATCTCTGTTTGTATATAAAGTATGTTCATACCAATTCATGTCTTCCGCTGGGTCTTTTTTGTTTTCCTTCCCCTTCATACTTATCTCCCACTGTGTTCCTTCCTATAGGGATCAAAAAGAAACTAAAATCTCAGGGTTATTATAGATTGTTTCTATCTCCCATTTAGACTATGTGATTAGGCCCATGATCCTCAGGAACTGAATTCTCCTTTGGGCCTACTTAATTTATAAAATAATCTTCTATTCTTTGAAAACAACCTAATGATTTCTTTTAAGAAAATGACTTTTGTCAAGCACAATGGCATATGCCTGTAATTCCAGCCTCTCAGGAGGCTGAGGTAGGAGGATCACAAGTTTAAGGCTGGTCTCAAACTTTCAATCTTCCTACCTCAGCCTCCTGAGTTGCTAGGATTACAGGCATATGCCACCACACCAGCAAGTTTATATCATTTTTTAAGATGGCTTTGTTGTCCATTCATCTTTAGTACATTCTTTTTATTTTTAAGTTGTAGACAGACACATGCCTTTTATTTTATTTATTTATTTTATGTGGTGCTGAGGATCAACATGCTCATCACACATGCTAGGCACATGCTCTACCACTGAGCTACAACCTTAGCAACCTCAGCCCCTTTAGTACATTCTTTTTTTTTTTTTTAATATTTTTTAGTTGTCAGTGGACCTTTATTTTATTTATTTATATGAGGTGCTGAGAATTGAACCCAGTGCCTCACACGTGTTAGGCAAGTGCTCTATCACTGAGCCACCACTCCAGCCCCTTTTAGTATATTCTTAAAGCTGAGATGCCATCTCTCTCCCCGATAAAACTGTTTCTTTTTCACAGGTAATGTTTGTCTCTTAGAGTTGCTACTTAATCATCTTTCTTCATCCAGTCTTATTCTGTAAAGCAGAATATATCCCTAAAAACCTTTGCTAATTTTCTGCACTTTAAAGGAGTTTAAGATTCTTGTGACTTATTCAGTGTTTCTGTGACTTAAAAAAAAAAAAAAAAAGTCAGGCATGGTCGTGCACCACACCAGTAATTCTAACTATATAATAGGCTAAGGCAGGAAGATTGTAAATTCAAGGGCAGCCTAGATAACATGGTGATATTCCATTTCAGAAAAATAAACAATCCCCCCCATAAATGTAGCAACTAATTGTAGATAGCAAAAATTATTGTTGATATATATATTATTCAATATTATGATTTTAAAAAAAGGAATGTTCTAATTAATGTAGGAGTTGTCAATTTCATCATACCTTCTTGTTCTATAGAATGTCTGAATTAGTTAACTCAATTAACATGTGGTAAGGAGGTCAGGATCACAGGTAGGATTATTACACTGATAGAAACAAGTGTCTGTATGTGATAGGGCACTCAGTTGTTTAGTTGGACTGGCTGTTTAGCTGCAGTTTGAATTACCAACAATTTAGCACACAGGGGGAATTGGTCTTATAAGGTGGCTGATAGAATGTTGAAGGCTGCATGCCACGTAGCCTATCTGGGAGGGAAAACACACCAGAATGTTCATATCCTAGCAAAAATGTGTCAATATTGCGATCTTTGTTCTTGAAGGACATTATATACACATTTGTCAAAGGAAAGTGATAGAAAAGAAAGGACCTGGTTTGGGACCAAACATTTTATTATTAACATTGAGCTAGCTAAGCCTCTGAGGCTGCCTCTTTATCTATAATCTTGCAGTCATACTCACCTCACAAATTCTTTGAAGATTAAATAGTTTATGTGTATGGTACTTCATATCCTACACTACCTAGATTGCCCACTACTTAGATGGAACAATTATTAATATGATCTCATATTTACTTAATCTCTTCTCTCTTATTTTTCTTCTCTCCCTCTCCCTATTATCCTTTTTGTCCCTCTATATTTTTTTATGACTGACATATTAACATTTTTCTCTTTTGTCTATAGATATTATTTATGTCTTCAGCTTCGACAGGACATTGTTGCAGGACGTCTGCCCTGTTCCTTTGCAACTTTAGCATTATTGGGTTCTTACACCATCCAGTCTGAGCTGGGAGACTACGATCCAGAACTCCATGGTGTGGATTATGTTAGTGATTTTCATCTGGCCCCAAATCAGACCAAGGAACTTGAAGAGAAGGTCATGGAACTGCATAAATCATACAGGTGACTGGGTCTCCAGAGTTTATTCTGTTTGTATGGTAGTAAGTTTAAACCCTTGACCTGGTATTGAATCAGTGTTTGCCTAAAAGGGAGCATGCTGCCACAGAAAGAGTTGGTGAAGAGCTAATTTCCCTCTACTGTTTGACTTTGAGCAAGTCCCTTTAAGTCTTCTGAACCTCAGTTTTCTTACTATAGTAATGGGCATTGTATTGTAGAATGAAAACTAAATGAGGTAACATAGGTAAAGCACTTAGCACAGAGCTAGATGTGTAGTAGGTACTCAATAAATGGTAGCTATTAGTCTTACAGGTGTTTTTTCTTTTCCTTCAGATTTTAACTTACCATGCTGTACTAGCTCCTTAGAGCAAGAGTTTTAAACTTGGAATGTATGTATGTGGATAGATTGTGGAGGGCCCATGAAACTCCTGCAGTTATCTTTAAAAGTCTTCGTTGAATTCACCAACTATACTGCTATTTATTTTTTCATGAAAATAATGTGTAACATTGGGAAGTATTGTAGCATAGTACTAAAAAGCAAGGGCATATAGTTCATCTGAGCTAGGTTGAAATTATTTGCCTAGTGAGTATCAGGCCCTCGTTCAATCCCTGGTATCATTAAAAAATAAAATTACAAAAAACTGCTATTGTGAGTTTTGATATATCATAAAAGAAGAATTTTAAATTCTCAATCCTTCATTGTCATTTTTCACAAAGGTTATTTAATGGTAAAAATAATGGACTTATTATTCTTTAGACATTTAATAAAAATTTTGTAATATAGTTAATTTGTAATAGTTAATACTGATAGATATAAGCACATAAAGAATAGTATTTCAGGGAATGGAACCACCATTTGACCCAGCTATTCCCCTTCTCGGTCTATTCCCTAAAGACCTAAAAAGAGCATGCTACAGGGACACTGCTACATCGATGTTCATAGCAGCACAATTCACAATAGCAAGACTGTGGAACCAACCTAGATGCCCTTCAATAGACGAATGGATAAAAAAAAAATGTGGCATTTATACACAATGGAGTATTACTCTGCATTAAAAAATGACAAAATCATAGAATTTGCAGGGAAATGGATGGCATTAGAGCAGATTATGCTAAGTGAAGCTAGCCAATCCCTAAAAAACAAATGCCAAATGTCTTCTTTGATATAAGGAGAGTAACTAAGAACAGAGTAGGGATGAAGAGCATGAGAAGAAGATTAACATTAAACAGGGATGAGAGGTGGGAGGGAAAGGGAGAGAGAAGGGAAATTGCATGGAAATGGAAGGAGACCCTCAGGGTTATACAAAATTACATACAAGAGGAAGTGAGGGGAAAGGGAAAAATAATACAAGGGGGAGAAATGAATGACAGTAGAGGGGGTAGAGAGAGAAGAGGGGAGGGGAGGGGAGGGAAGGGGGGATAGTAGAGGATAGGAAAGGCAGCAGAATACAACAGACACTAGTATGGCAACATGTAAATCAATGGATGTGTAACTGATGTGATTCTGCAATCTGTATACGGGGTAAAAATGGGAGTTCATAACCCACTTGAATCAAAGTGTGAAATATGATATATCAAGAACTATGTAATGTTTTGAACAACCAACAATAAAAAAAAAAAGAACAGATGGAGGGGAAAAAAAGAATAGTATTTCAGAATACTTAATAATTAAGAGAGTAAAGAGTTATTAATGCCAAAAAAGTTTGAGAACCATGTGTAGAGCACATAGTTAAAATCACTAGCTCTGGAGTGAGCCTGTTTTACTTTGGATTCGGATTCCATTCCTTATCAGCTTTTTGACTCTTGGTAAGTTACTTAAGCCTTCTAAGCTTCAGTTTTCTCATCTGAAACCAGGATGATAATAGAAATTTTATAATTGTTTAAATCAGAAAAGTCATGAGAAGTACTCAGCACAGTGATTAGTAGACCTCTCATTATATAATGAGAGGTCATATATTTGCTAGGATAATAAAAATAATAATCTTTATCCCCATTTTACAAGCAATGTGCATCTGGGTTTGGAGAACCACTCACAGAACTTAATAGAATTTTAAACTCAAATAGATGGAACAATCTCACTGGACAGGTGGATATGATCAGTTGATGTTCAGTTAGGTATATGAAAAAAAGTCAAGGAATTTACTTGCTCCTTTTTGGAAATTTTCATAGCCCTCACAAGCAGAAACACAAATGGGAAATTTAATTATGTCCAGCAACATGGTGCTTTAACCACTCCAAAGAAACTTCTGCTGAGACATAAACACTTTACTGTGTATTGAAGCGATTACCAGCCTGCTCCTCAGACAAGTAGAAGAAGGCCTTTAAGTGGAACCTGTAGTAGTGGCCCTTTGCCCAGACAGGGATTTTAAAGCTATAATTAACTCTTTAAATTAACACTAGCAAATCAAGCTTTAAAATTATTTGTCCTCCACTTCATTGTCCCCACTTAATTATTTGAAATCACAATACTTAATTAGGAGATGCAACAAACATTATCAAAAGACTGTCACTTAACACCAGAACTCACTGCATGACTCTCCTGACCCCACTTGCTTGAAATAAATAAATACAGGGAGACTGTGCTGAAACTTCTCTTTGTAATGAGCAAGAGCTAATCTTTTTAAAGTGCCAGAGCACCCTGGGTAGGTACTTTAAGCTGAAGAACTCATAAGTAGTAACTTGTTAGGTGGTACTGAATAACTCTGGACAATACTTTTTTTAAAGTGGGGTGGAAGGGGGTAATGGTACTGGGATCGAATGTGGGCACTTGTGCACTCTACCACTGAGCTATACCTGTTGCCATTCTTATTTTTAATTTTTAGAAAGGGTTTTGCTAAGTTGCCCAGGCTGGCCTGGAATTTGTGATCCTCCTGTCTCAGCCTCCTGAGTAGCTGGGATAGGCATGTACCACTGAACTCAGCTGGACAGTACTCAATCTGTTCCCAGCTTGTTATGATTTTCAAAGGTCTTAGGGAATCCATATGTGTGAAGCAGGTCAGAATGGGGAATTCTGTCCAGACAGAATAAGGGGTGCATCTATAAGGGGAAGGGGTTACTGACAGCAATGAGAGTTGATAAAAAGAAATACAAATTATGAAAAGAGAGAAATTAAACTGAACCCTGGGGTATTGTAAATATAGGGAAGTTTTTTGTCATGATTGCTTCATTTAATGTTTTAAAATTGATCTTCAACTTTAACTGATCCAAATTATTTCTCTCAATTTAATTTTATAATCCATGTAGAGATGGGATACTGTACTATTAGAAAATTAAGGTTGCAAAATAATAAATAAATAGTTTACAAAGCAGTTTCACAGCCATTATCTTATTTAATTCTAATAGTCACAATTATTTATCCAGCAAAATTAATGTGATTCTTACCTTATAGAGGAGATTGAGGGAGACAATGGCTCACCACCCATAAGTTCAGGAACCAGGATTCTAGCCCAAGTAGTGTGACTTGAGTAGTGACTTAAGCCTGCTGCTTCAAACCAAGTGTTTCAGCCTATTCATGATCATGCAATCCTTCAGGGTCTGTTTTCTTTATCAGCAAAATGAAAAGGTTGAACTCATTACCTTCAAGTTCCTTTCCAGCTTCAAACTCCTAAATTTCACCCCACTAGTATTAATAACAACAGTAAAATATAAAACAACTGGGAGTAACCTTAACTAGAAAAGTGTATCACTTATATGGAAAAGTAATTTACAATTACAAAACTTTCCTGAGATGTTTTGAATTACTTGAATATATAGACTTTTATATGGGTTAATTTTCCCATTTTTCTTCCTTTTTTTTTTTTTCTTTTTAATCTTCAACTTCAGGTCTATTAGTAAACAGAATTAGGTGAGATGCTTTAGAGCTGGTAGAAAAAGTTTATTTAGGGAGGCTGAGTTGTAACAAATCTGCATCCTTCTCTCCTATGTGTTTTCTTTTTTGGTTGTTGTTGTTCCAAGGAATCCTTTGTTCTTTTTAATGAGGGTAAAGACAGATGGATTTGGAAGAGACTTTTCCTTTTAAATGAAGAGACCCCTGCTGCTCTCTATAGCTTGAGGCAGTCTTATGGGAAACTGGCATTTTCTTTTTTTTGAGATGTGGCTGCATTATTGTTACTAAGAAGTTACTCTTGATTGGTCTGAATTGTGCAGGGTTGGGAATGATATCTTTGTCTTCAAATCTCAGTGAGCACGTTCCAAAAGCAAAGAAACTTCTAGAGAAGGAAAGACCGACACAGTGAATGTTTAGACCATGAGACTGATTGTTTTCAAACAAATCTAATTCATTATTTGCCTGGTAATGAAGACATCTTAATAACAGAAAACAGTCCCATTATCTGTGTGCTTCTATTAACCAATTTATTTTGTTTAGATCAGTGGGCAGAACACCATCTGTTACCAGAAATTTTCTTTTCATCAAACCTGGCCCCATTAAGAATCCCAGTTAAGTAACATCAGCTGCCCTCTTGTTTAATTTCCATAATAACTCAATTCAGGGGTATAGAGGGAAAAAAGGCAGCTAAGAGGATCTTGTAAATTGTCCCATGCCCCTTGAGGATTTAATTTGGTCATCTCCTTGGTAAGAAAATTAGTGGAAGGAATTTATGTATGGGATAGAAAAAGGATGAAGAGAGGGAGGACAGAGCTAATGATGGATGAGGTCATTTGAAGGAAATTGTTAGGGAGTTTAAAATTTTTTTTTCCAGTAGTTTTTTAGTGTCTTTTTGTTTTCTCAAGATATCGTTTTCTTTATGATAACATTTCCATTCTATAATAATCCACTTATGGACTATAAAATTTATTTTATATACATATTGGTCAACATGTGTATGATTGTGTTTATATGAAATGTCATGAAGATACAACTGTGATTACTGTAAATGTGGATACTATGACACTGAATTTTTATTTTTATTTTATCAAAGGTCCATGACTCCAGCTCAGGCTGACTTGGAATTTCTTGAGAATGCCAAAAAGTTGTCTATGTATGGTGTCGATCTGCATAAAGCAAAGGTAATGTATCTCTGGCCTTTATTAATATGCACTAGATGATGCAGGTTTGCTATGTGTAAATTGCACTTGTGTCACGTGCTACTTTTCACCAGCATTTATCTGGGCTATTTTAAAACATTCAAAATAAATAGTAATTCTTTTTTTTTTTTTAAGTTGTTGATAGACCTTTATTTTATTTATTTATATGCAGTGCTGAGAATTGAACCCAGTGCCTCACATATGCCTGGCAAGTGCGATACCACTGAGCCCCAGCCCCAGCCCCAGCCCCAAATAGTAATTCTTTTTGAATTTTAAGTATATCAGTTGAATTGCCACTTGGCAATCCACTGTCAGAATAAAGTTTTACAACTAAGCCACTGTAAAAAATAAAAAAAATACAACCTGGAGAAAAAGAAATTATATTTTCCTAAGATGCATTTACATTTGAATATCACAGTGGCAGCAAGGCTTTTCTCACAGCCAACATTACCTAAATCACTTGAGAGGTCTACTAATTGTACAGATTCCGGAGCTCCTCCCAGGTTTACTGACTTATTTCAGAGGACAGGCTCTAGAACCTCCAGATTTAATGAGCATTCCAAATGAATACAAGCTTGAACCTGAGAACCACTGGCTTAGGGTAATGGTTCTCAAAGTGTGGTCCCTGAGTCAGCAGCATTTAGCATCGCAGATGCATTTTTCAGGTTCCATCCCAGACTTATTGAACCAGAAGCTGGGATGGAGATTCTAATGTACACCAAATACACTACAATGGCTCGTTGAGAACCCCTAGGTTAGGGCATTGGAAACTTAAGCTTTAATCCTACTTCTGCCTAATACAGCCTAAGAGAGGGATTACTTAAGGCAATCGCTTGACTTCCCTCATCTTCAAATGGCTGGAGAGGTTGAGGATATCATGAGGAGAGGGCTCAAAGGGATGCTCAGATGCGCCTTGGGAGGAACTTAACTAGTGTGCATGATCAGGAGACTCTAAACCATGTCCAATGAAAAACAAAGGAACAAGGATATTAATCTTACAAAAGAGAAAGTTCTGGGGAGACATAATATCTGCCTTCCTGTTAATTTAAAGGAGTGGTGTGTAAAATAGATTTTACTAGGGCTTTAAGATATAAGCCTAGAGATAGTAAAATGTAAACTATAGGGAAATATGTTGTTCAGCTCAGTTTGACAAATTATCTAGCAGAGCTTTTCAAAGATGAGTTGGGCTACCTCAAAGAATGATGAGTTCCCTGTCACTGAATATTCCAGGATAGGCCAAATAATCACTTGGTAGGAATTAAGAGACAGACATCTGGTCTGTGATTTGACTAGACTAATCTTTCATGATTTTCTCAACCTGAATATCTGATAGTTTCTTAAGTTCAATTACTTCTAATTTCAAATTCAGATGTTGTCCTGGGTTTTTTGGGGCTAGGTACTATAGCTTCTGTGAATTTCTAAAATAGACAATAGAAATATCAGTATTTCAGATAAGGTATATTTCCAGAACTTCTCATTTCCTGAAAAAGGTTTGTGTCAGTCAGCAAGGTGTGAAGAAGTCAGGCAGCAAATTCCTTTTCCAAATGTTGTAAAGCAAACTCTTTCTGTAAAGCGTGTCATTAAAAGAGAGATATAGGGCTGGGGCTGGGGCTCAGCGGTAGCGCACATGCCTGGCATGTGTGAGGCACTGGGTTCGATTCTCAGCACTGCATATACATAAATAAAATAAAAGTCTATCAACAACTAAAAAAATATTTTAAAAAAAGAGAGAGAGAGAGAGAGAGAAAGATAGTTGTACCTCCAGGCTTTAGAAACTTAAGAAGGCATCTTGAGGTAAATTTTCAGTCACATAGTCATTGAATTAAAACTATATTCAATTTCTGCATCTCTGTTATGCTTGTACATAACACATGTAGGCACTAACATTTTTCTCTATACTCATTGTAGGAAAAAGAGGAGTCAAAAAGCTTTAACTCTGGCCAGGCGCAGTGGCTCATGCCTGTAATCCCAGCGGCTTGAGAGGCTGAGGCAAGAGCATCACGAGTTCGAAAGCCAGCCTCAGCAAAAATGAGGCGCTAAGCAACTCAGTGAGACCCTGTCTCTAAATAAAATACAAAAATAGGGCTGGGAATGTGGCTCAGTGATTGAGTGCCCCTGAGTTCAATGCCCATTCAATGCCCGGTACCCCTACCCGCCCCCTCCAAAAGAATAGAACCCTGGGTTTTGATTATTTAGCTAAATAAAGCCATCTGTAGAAATTAACTCAGATGAAATTCATTTTCCTTGAATTACATTGATTATTAATATTTAAAATTTTTTCTTTAATAAAGAGGCATGTAAACATGACTTCATTTTGCCTTAATGTTCTTTCTAGCCTTAGGAATAACATTTATATTTTCATATACTTAACATCAGTTATTTTAAGAAGCTGAGATTTTCGTATGTTGAGTTTATACAGGAATAGAGTCAAATCTTAACTTGATTTTCTGGAGGGATTACCACTATATCATTTCAAAAGAGAATTAGAATTGTGCAAACATGTCGTTAAAAGAAAGAGAGTTATATCCCCAGGTGGTACACGTAGCCCTAAACTCTGGCCTCTGGGAACTCTTATCTGCCAATATGGATTACGATTGTCAGGTTACACTTTATTTTCCATGATATGTTTCATAACTGTTTCTGGTTGCTGATATCTTCAGATTATCTGATAATAGTTAATGATGTGTTGAACACTTTGCTCAAGACTGAATGCTGACACTTTTCTTTTTCAGGACTTGGAGGGAGTGGATATCATCCTAGGTGTCTGCTCTAGTGGCCTTTTGGTTTACAAAGATAAGTTGAGAATTAACCGTTTTCCTTGGCCCAAAGTACTGAAGATTTCTTATAAACGCAGCAGCTTTTTCATCAAGATCCGGCCTGGAGAGGTACAGAATTCATGTTTTTTCTTCCTAAACCAAACATCTCCTCATTGCCATTTTCCTTGTTATGCCATCTGAGTAGTCTCTGTCTAACTAACTAGTCGGGGGCCAATATTTCTGTTTTCTTAAATTGTTAAGTCCTGTAATCTTCTCTTCTTATTACTGGTTTTCCAGACATTCCTATTCCTGTAAGTAAATATTCCATTGCCAAAAGTAAAACCTGGATTGGTAAACTTGTTTCTTGTTTACTCCAGGTAAGAACTTCATGGGAAACTATTTATAAATTCTATAGCTTGAGATTCTAAAATTACTTTGTGGAGTTAAATATTTTATATCCTACCTTCTACAATTACAATTTATTTGTGTATATATACATATGTTACTATATGTTCCAGGGTCAAGTTCTAGATTATTTTTATTTACTACTAGGGATTGAACCCAGGGCCTGATGCATAAGTCCTAGATTTTTAATAGAGTTGTATGTTCAGCTTAATACTGGATCAACTTAGTTAATAATAGGTAGCCAAAATTCAGGATGTACTGATTGATGCAGGCCAATTTTAAATTGTAAAAGAGCTATCATGGTGCAATAGCAAATTGTTTAAGTAGGAATTAAATTTTTTTAAAAAAAGTTCTAGTTCCTTCTCTTTCATTTGCTTAACCAAAGACCCTGGATAAATCTAAAGCTCTTTCCTTATCATCCAAGAAGGATAATACCTCCTCAGTCCCAGTTTATTTGAACATCAAATGAAATAACAACAGTGAAAACTCAACACAGAAAAGGACCAGCCTGACATAAGGTCGCTTTTTGTATGTTTATATATCACCATCTGCTGGTGAAAAATGGCTCACTCTTTGAGCCTGGAAATTGTAGACATGCAGCCTTAAAAATCTTGGGTAGGGATTATCATTGAAACATTTATATTGTATTATAATTATTTATCTGTGCCTAGCACAAAGCAGCCAGTGTCTTCCCTTGAAGTTTCATATCCAAGAGTCAGTCAACCAACAAATATTTCTTTGCAATTTAATGGTAAATAAGACAACATTCTTGTATCTTAATATGGGAAAACAAAACTAAATACACACACATATTAATAAATATGATAATAGGAAGGCCTCAGTCTCTGTCAACTATGTGCTAAAAATGCAGAATTTCTATTTAAGAAATCAATCAGGAAAAATGGGATTCTGGAAGTGGAATATAACTATTGTTGACTTAGAAGTGACATTCTGGTTCTGCCATTTAATAACTATGAGACTGAGCAAATTACTTCTCTGAACTCAGTTTCTTCAGTGTAAAAATTGAACCTATCTAATCATAGTGTTATTGGCAATGATAGGCACTGAAAACAAATTTCACTTTCCTTTTCTATCTAATAAAGTATGCTTAAGGGAGAAACAGAGAAGTAAGAAACCAATAACATGTTTCTTATAGCCCTGGTAGGATATGGTTTGCTTCAGTTAGAGGTATCTAGATAAATTAACGGTCAGAAAAAGGGAAAAAGAATAAACATTTAATAATTAGAGAATCTGGAGAATAAGCTTAAGAGTCCAATTATACAACATAATCATTATAGTTCAGTGTATTATCTTCTTGAAAATTGCTAAGAGATGACTAGCATGCATGAAACCCTGGGTTCAATACCCAGCACAAACAAAAAAATTAAAATCTTGTTAATAGATTAGATTTTAAGGGTTCTCATCACAAAAAATTATGTAAGTTAATTCATATGTTGATAGCCTGATTTAGCATGTTCAATATTTGCATACTGAACACAATAAATATATACAATTTTTATTTGCCAATTCTAAAATTTAATTAATTTTTAAAAATTAATCTGATTTGAGCCAAATCTTTAGTTATTATTACTAATTATTATTGTGTAATAATATTGATTGATGGAAGAATTACTTTATATCTCATTCCCTTATCTTTGAATAATCTAATATCCCAAATACAGATAATAACTAAGGAAAAGCAATGTCTAGACAATCAAAATGTGACTTAATTATGTCTCAGAAAAATGCCCTGTGTTTGTGTGTATATGCATGCATGTGTGTTTTCTGAACAAAAATAAAATGCATGAATAATATGCATTTCTTGGCTTCCTTGCTTTGGAAAAGGACATCCTCAGGAGTGACTTTCTTCTGGTGAGTAGGAAAACATTTCAAATGATATTTTATGTCCTTAAATTGATAACATTATTTGTATTTACAATGATCTCGTTGGTGGCACCATTATTTCTCTGGTGCTGTATTACTATAGTCAAATGATACTTTATGTTCCATGTTTGTGTTTCTATAGCAAGAACAATACGAAAGTACCATTGGATTCAAACTTCCCAGTTACCGAGCAGCTAAGAAATTATGGAAAGTCTGTGTAGAACATCACACATTTTTCAGGTATTGTTCTCACTTAAGTATTTTTCAAGGATAAATTATGTATGTGTGTTTCTATTTTAAGTCTGCTATTGAAATTCTCTCCTTTATATGACTGGCACTTTTGTTTAGCTCTAGTGAGATCATCTTAAGCAAGACAAAATGAATCCACTTTCCCTGCTCTGGGTTGAAAAGCGTGCCTCAACATTTCCAAAGCACCTTTCTTTGTGTGGTAGGAGGAGGAGGGAAGTGGAGAATAGGATCCTGTGTTCACTGGGTGCTCTATGATTGCCCTAACTGTAGCTAACAGTCCTGGGCTTGGCCTTTGTTACTGCCCAGTCCCTTAACAGATATGTGACCTTACACATATAACTTCCTTTGGGTGGTTCGGTTTCTTGTATCTATAAAATGATGACAATATTACAAAGATATAGTGAAAGTATTGCAGTGAAAACCATAAGGCCCTATCTATAGAGATATAAGATGATATTAATGAAGGCAACAACTAAATATACTGATTGCTTTGAGACATGACATGGAACTGAAATAATGATTGCATGATTTGAAATCTCCTAATAACTATAATTATATCTTAAAATTGAGAAACATTTTTTATTCTTGATCTTATTTTTAATTGTACAGTTTCAGAATGAGATAATTTATATAATATGTGATTGTTATGATTTTTCTCTCAGACTGACATCTACAGACACCATTCCCAAAAGCAAATTTCTTGCCCTGGGATCCAAATTTCGATATAGCGGCCGGACTCAAGCTCAGACCAGGCAAGCTAGTGCTCTGATTGACAGGCCTGCCCCACACTTCGAGCGCACAGCAAGCAAACGGGCATCCCGGAGTCTCGATGGAGGTCTGTATTGAATACTAATGATTTCTTGTGATCCTAGTTCCTTAGAGAGAGATAAAGGAAGCACAGTTATCTATAAGAGAACCAAATTATCTCAGATGCGCACAAATTCTTAGTGGTGGAATGGAAGGTATCCTACTAATTGTCTAATTCAGTGGACGAATCTTAAGAAAAGGGGACTGCGATTCAGAGAGAATAGTGACTAGATCAGGATTTCACTGCTAGGTAGTGATGGATGCGGTACCACTAGAGTGGGTGAGGCAGGGAGGATTAAGGACCTATTTCAGATTGGGCAGTCCAATCTAAATTTAGAAGGTTCCCCTGAAGAGTATCATTTGAGACCTGAATTATGAGAAGTAGCCAGCCCGCCCAAAATCTAGGGGAAGAGCATTCCACAAAAAGGAGAGGTAAGTACAAAGTGCTGCAAGTAGGAATGAGCCTGGTGTGTCTAGATCAGTGATGCCCCACAGAACTTTTTTTGCTAATGAAAATTCTATTAGTCACCTTTCTGTCCCTGTGACAAAATACCTGACAGAGAAGCTAAGGAGTATTTTGGCTCACGTTTCAGTCCAGGGGTGGGCTGGCTCCATTACTTTGGGCCTGAGGTGAGGCAAACTGTCATGGTGGTGAGAATGTGTGGCCTTGCTCACCTCATGGCAGCCTGGAGCAGAGAGAAGGGAGCCTGGGACAAAATATAGCTTTCAACCTAGGTCCTACCTTCTAAAGTTTCTATCACCTTCCATTAGTACCAACCAGCAGGAGACCAGAGCTTCAACACCTGGGCCTTTGGGGGACATTCCCGATATAAAGCATAACAGAAATCTTCTATTTTGTGATGTCCAACGTAGCCATTAAGAACTTGAAATGTGGGGCTAAGGTTGTGGCCCAGTGGTAGAGCGCTCACCTGGCACATGTGAGGCGCTGGGTTCGATTCTCAGCACCACATTAAAAATAAATAAATAAATAAATAAAATAAAGGTACTATGTCCAACTACAACTCAAAAAAAAAAAAAAAAATGTGTGTGTGTGTGTGTGTGTGTGTGTGTATAATATATGAACTTGAAATGTGACTATGCAACTGAGGAATCAAATTTTAATTAGATATAAATTTAAATAGCCACATGTGGTTAGTAGCTCTCGTATTAGAAGCACAGGTCTAGATTCTAGTAAACAAAGGAAAAAGGAATAGAAGATAAGAATAGTCAGAGAAGTAGGCATGGGCCACACACAGTAGGAGTTTCGATTTTATTTTACTTGCAGAAGGAAGCTTCCAGAGGGAGTGTTATAATTTGAAATCCTTTTTGAACAAGATTACTCAGAACTTGGGGTGAAGACTCCATGAAAGTGAGGGTAGATCCAGAAGCAGGGTGAATGCTGATGCAGGATCTAGGTGAGAAGTTGAGAGCTTGGCTCTGGTACTGGGAGCAAAGACAGACAAAAGTGGTCAGGGATACATCTTGGAGGCAGGGCTGACAGAATTGCTGATTAAATACTTGACGTGGTAAGGAAAAGAAAATTGAGTTTTATTCCTGGGCTTGATCATTTAATGGAATGGGACACACTGGTAGAGGAGCAGAGTCGGGAATGTAGAAATCCAAGAATTCTGGTTTGGAGTCACTCAGTCTTGGTGTCTTTGCCATACTCATCTAACACCATCAGGCATCTCCTTCCTTGTCAAGTAAGTCACCTTGTCCAATATTTTCTTCTAATACTTATGCTGTTTGCATTTCGTATTTAGATAAACAATCTATCTGGAATCTGCTTTTAATTTCTTTAATTCCTTTGTTGCTAGATAGGACAGCCAATGTAATGCTGAATAAAACTGTTAGTGATTCGCATTCTTGTCTCATTCCTAACCTCAGGGAGAGAGCTGCAGTATTTCATCACTGAGTATGATGTTTGCTCTAGGTTTTGAGTAGCTATACTCTATCACATAAGGAAGTTTTGTTTTTTTTTTTCATTCCTAGTTTTCTAAAAGTTTTTACCATGAATTAGTATTGACTTTTACCAGATACTTTTTACTTAATTGATATAATAAAGTGATTTTTTTTCTCTTTATGTTATATGTGGATTGCCTTGATTGACTTTCAGTTTTTAAACCCACCAAGCATTCTTGGATTAAACTCAATTTGGGGGGCTGCAGATACGGCTCAAGTAGTAACGCGCTCGCCTAGCATGCGTGAGGCACTGGGTTCGATCCTCAGCACCACATAAAAATAAAATAAAGATATTGTGTCCACCTAAGCTAAAAAATAAATATTTTTTTAAAAAATAAGCTCAATTTGGTCATGATATGGTTTTTATATCATTTTAGAATTTTTACAATTGTAATCAGCTCTCCATACCTTCAGGTTCTGCATCTGTGAAATTATTTGGGAAAAAAACAACAACAACTTTTTGTCTAAGCTGAATGTATTACAGATTTTTCCTTATTATTCCCTAAACAGTACAGTATATATTACATAATACTTACATTGTATTATGTATTTTAAATAATGTAGGGATGGGGCTGGGGATGTGGCTCAAGCGGTAGCGTGCTCGCCTGGCATGCGTGCGGCCCGGGTTTGATCCTCAGCACCACATACAAACAAAGATGTTGTGTCCGCCGAAAACTAAAATAAATAAATAAATATTTAAAAAAAATAAAAAATAAATAATGTAGGGATGATTTAAAGAATATGGGGGAAATATGTATAGGTTACATGCAAATAGTAGGCCATTTTAAGGGACTTGAGCTCCTTAAATTTTTGTATCCTAGGAGAGTCCTGGAATCAATTTCATATGGATGTTAAGAGATAATAATATTTTCAAAAGAGAAATGGGCATATAATTTCCCTTTCTTATAATGTTATGACCAGGTTTTTTTATTTTTACTTTTTAGAATGCCTTTATTTTATTTGTTTTTTATTTTTTATGTGGTGCTGAGGATAGAACCCATTGCCTCATGCATGCTAGGCAAGTGCTCTGCCACTGAGCTACAGCCCTAGCCCATGATCAGGTTTTAATATCACTTTTATGCTGGCCTCATAAAATAAATTGAGGATGGATTCCCACTTTTCCTATTCTCTGGAAGAGTTTGTGTAAGATTGGCGTTATTTCTTCTTTAATATTTGGAAGAATTCACCAATGAAGCTATATAGTCCTAGTCCTTTACGTATCTTTTTAAGTATCTGAATTGCATATGAACAGAGTAGAGAAAAATTTTATAGTTCTGTTTTCTTTTTCTCTGTCTGGGAGTGTTTTTTACTGACAGATTTAGTGTCTTTATTAGATAAGGGACTATTACAATGTTCTGGTTCTTATTTCAGTTTTGGTAAATTGTGTTTTTCTAGGGATTATCTATTCCATCTAATTTTCAAATTTATTGACACAAAGTTGAATATCTTTAATATCTATATGACCTGTAGCAGTGTTTTTGCATTCTAGATATTAGAAAGTTATGCTCCTTTTTTCTCTCCACTTCCCCCGCAGTCTTGCTAGAGATTCGTTAATTTTGTTAATCTTTTCAAAGAATTAATATTAGGTTTTATTTCAGTGTGTATTTTAAGTTTAATTTATGCCAGCTCATACCTTTATTATTTGCATTACGTTTTCATTGAGCTGTTCTTTCTCTAATCTCTTGAAATACTTATCTGTTGATGTTTGTTGTTCTTACAACTTAACCTGAGAATTTAAGTGACTTGTCTAAGGTCACAAAGATAGTCAGAACTAGAAGTAGGAGCTAGGACTATTCTCCCAAACATGTGCTTTTTACTCTTTCACTATGGTGACACTTTTTCTTTTAAGAAAGGAGAAAGTGGGCTGGGGTTGCAGCTAAGTGGAAGAGCACTTGCCTAGCATGTGCGAGGCCCTGGGTTGGACTCTCAGGACCACATATAAAATAAACAAAATAAAGCCCATCAATGACTAAAAAATATTAAAAAGAAAGGAGAAAGTAAGTAGTTGTTAATAGTATTCATTGAGCATTCAGTATGTTATGGGCACTATTTTAGCACTTTACATATCTTGTAAGTATCTGAACTGCATATAAACAGTAGAGAAAAAAAATTTTAATTTTTTTTGTAGATTGACACAATACCTTTATTTTATTTATTTTTTATGTGGTACTGAGGATCGAACCCAGTGCCTCATGCATGCTAGGCAAGTGCTCTACCACTGAGCCACAACCCCAACCTTACAGAAAAATTTTATAGTTCTATTTTCATAGATATTCTTTTTCTCTGTGCTATCTTCTTGGAAACTGTTTTGAAACCATTTTTCACACCTTTTCCTAGATCTTTCTCCATCTTCCTTAAATTTTTTTTCCTATTGGGTCCACCCTCCTTTAAAAAAATAATATAACCCTTGACAGTAGAAACAATATATTAGGGAAACATTCAGAAGAATTACTTTATAAGGGGCCTCAATTTATAATACAAATGAGCACTCTTTCTCTTCTGTTTTGTCTAGTACTCAGAGCATCTGCTTCACCAGCTGGAGAACAAAACTGGTTCCGATCCCAGTTTTAAGATAGAGTATTAAGTCATAAAGATAGCTAATAATACGACAAGGATTTTTCAGCTTGTTGCACTTTTTGCTTTTCCAACCATTTCCATGTATTCCTATTTAATATTAGCAACCCAGTGAACAAGAGGTATTTAGGAACTCTTGTTTTATTCATGAGAAAACTAGAGCACCAAAAAGTTATGTAACTTACTAGGGTCACACCACCAGATAGTTCATTCTTGCCAAGTGGTACTTGCCAGGGAAGTACATTCTTTTCATCTTTGGTACTTTAGTACAAAATATATGTCCAAGCCTCTCTGTTGGATGACCAGTCTGTTTGCAGTGGACCTGAGTATCAGCTGGTTTTTTGTTTGTTGTTCAAGATCTGTAGATGATTCATGTGGGCCCTCTGATAATGGAACCATTGATCCCCTGTACACCTGCTGAACCTGTATCATACTGGCAGAAATTGTGCCAGTAAGTAGCAGCTAGAAGCTTCCATTTACTCCATGTGATGGTTTTGAGTTTTACTCTTTATTGCTCTGGTATATAACCAAGTTTCTATTGTTCTCAGCCAAGAGCAATATAATAACTGAAGTTAGCGGGTCTGTAAGAGTATCACCATTGTACTTTTTCTTTGTCTAGACCTTCAGAAATGGGAGCTATTGAATATTTTAATTTAAGGGTTTTCTCGGGGTGAATGTTTTCTCTGGTAAGTGAATGCTAATTACAATGGGGAGGGGAGCTTGGAATGAGTGGATAACTTTGGATGGGACAAAGGAGGAGGGGAGAGGGCAATGGGGGTAGGAAAGATGGTGGAATGAGATGGATATCATTATCCTAGGTACATGTATAATTGCATGAATGGTGTTACTCCACTTCATGTACAACCAGAGAGGTTAAAAATTCTGCTCCATTTGTGTACAGTGAATCAAAGAGCTTTCTACACTCATATATAAACTGATTAGAACTAATAAAAAATAGAAAAAAATAAAGTTAAGGGTTTTCTGTATATGTACCAAAATCTTGTAATAGCTAACAAATTAATTAATAAAACTGAAGAGCCAAAACGTCTTCTTCTTTTTTTTTTTTTTTTCCTCTCCAGTGCTGGGGATTGAACCTAGGGCCTTACACATGCTGGGCAAGAACTTTACTGAGCTGTATCCTTAGTCTCACACCAAAACATCTCAATAAAGCTGTTTTAAAAATGACCACTATGATATTCATGATCCATAGTTTGCAATCTTCTTATTAAGAAATTTGCCTCTCTTCAGGACTCCCAGGTGATATCTTTCCTTTGAATTTCATATCAGTATTTGCATAGTTTTTGCCCAACTTACTCTTAAAACATTAACCCATGACAAGAGAAATATAAGGACAAATATGATATTAGAAGTTATTAATATTTAGAGTTCATAAAATGTGTTTGTAGCCCTTGAGTTCCCCTTCCCCAACTATCCTATAGAGTTAATATCTTCCACATTTTACAAATGTTAATACCGAGGTTTGAAAAATTAGGCTCTTTGCACTAGGTCACATTACTGTGTATGACTAACATAAGTTTGGGCTGAAGACTCATGATTTGGTCTTTGCCTTATTCCATACCGCCTTTTCACAATCAGTGCTGTTCATTGTAATGCTTCTATTTTTCCTATCTCTTAACTGTTTCCACCTTTGTTTCTAACCCTCAGTCTTTACATTTATACCTACGCTTCCACATACAGTACAGATTTCCAAAGCTAGGAATGCTAAAGACATAAATCATTTGGCTCTGCAATATTAGTATTGGATTAAAACCAAATTCAAGTGGCAAAATAACACATGGTGAGAGCATGGGCTATGTTTCTGTGATGCCAAGCAGAGTTGAATTAATTCTTTGAGAGGAGGTGTGAATACACATGTATAATGATACTTTAACACAACTGCGAGCAAAATATTTTGTCACATTCCCCTGTTTTGTTAGGCTTGGTCTGCCATCTGCCATTCTTGCGTTGACTGGCTTAGAGCACCCATGTGTATCAGAGACTTGCAAGAGGCCACAGTTTGTTCATTGAGTAATAAGCATTTCTTTCTTGGTGTTGTATATAGGAAGTAATTGTGAATTTCAATTTATTAATTCATTCTGGTTTAAGAAAGTCCTTTGTTTTACTTAAATTTTGCATCTTATAAATCTAAATGTGTTAAAATAGGTTATACAGTATAGTCAGTTTAAAAAGGAAAGAAAATGTGTAATAAACATCTTAAGATTTCCATGAAAAATAAAATTAAAAAGTTTCAGTATAAGAAAGAATAATGAGGGCTGGGATTGTGGCTCGGTGGCAGAGTGCTTGCCTCACACGTATGAGGTTTGATCCTCAGCACCACATAAAAATAAGTAAATAAATAAAGGTATTGTGTCCATCTACAATTAAAAAAATTTTTTTAAAGAATAATGATATTATTCTATTATAGATATAGACTATTAAATCATAGCTGGGCTCAATGGTGCATGTCTGTAATCCCAGCTACTTAGGCTGAAACAAGAGAATCTCAAAATAAAATTAAATAAAGGGCTGGGGATATAGCTCATCGGAGGTGGAACACTCGCCTAACATGTGAGAGGCCCTGGGTTCAATCCCCAGTACTACAAAAGAACAAATATTAAATCATGTGAACAAATAACTTCATTCCTAGACAATGTCAGATTAGTAAGGTTTACTGTAACATGCAGAGATATTTTGTTTTAATCCTTAAAAGAATGAAAATAAAAACCACAAATAGTGTATGAGTGACTATTTCTTTATTTCTTTTCTTTCTTCTTCTCCCTGGGGATCGAACCCAGGGGCAAATGCTCTACCACTGAGCTCCATCCCCAACCCCAAGTGATTGCTCTGAAGTAAGTTATCTAAAACTTAGCCAAAGTCCAAACCAAAACAACAGAAGATCAAGCGTTTGTCATTAATGTATATAGTTTTTTCTCTCTAAAACAATCTATACGACTTTTCCCTAAATCAAGGTTTCTCAACCTTGGCCTCTATATACTACATGTCAGTACCTACTTTCTCTGCTCTCCCCAGTTGTAAAAACCTAGAATGTCTGCAAACATTGCCAGATGTTCTCTGGGGATAAAATAACCCCTGGTTGAGAGCCACTGCTCTAAATATTTTAGAGAATAGAAGCTGTAGCACACATTGATAGGACTCTGGGATGGGGTGGGACAGAATGCAAAAGGTGTTTGTTTTGTTTTTATGACTGAAGACCATACATTTTGAATCAATATTATTTTAGTCAAATGATTTATTATTAAAAGGGAAAGCATCTAGTTCAAAGAGTTGCCCTTACAAGTATCAAAAGGTAGTAATGTCTTATCAGAAGAGCCATTTATCATTACAGGGAGACTTCACAGAAAAAATCAGACACAGTATTTCTTCCTAGACACAATATTTTTTTAGGTTCCTGAAACTACCTAAAAATAAACAGTATTTTTAAAAGGCTTCATAGAGGAAACTAGACTTAATCCTTTTTTCCTCCTCCGTAGACAACATTGAAGATTAACAGGTTTTCCATTTCTTTTCTTATTTTATCTTTTTCCTTTTTGAATTTAGCTTTTGTGAAACATGATTGTGAAGACATTTTCACATTTCTGGTGAGGGTATCTTCAGCTATCTTGTTGCCCTCAGAACAAGATATGATTGTTTGCCTTCTGTGTGGTAGGTCACTGGACTGTAACATTCACACACTGTGTCCTGGATGCGGAGTTATTTGGCCTGGTGTCCTTAAAGTAGTATAGTGGCTCTGGCCTCGCTTATTCTTCCCTTTTCCCCTTCTCACACAGCAGCAGCTGCTGATTCAGCAGACCGAAGTCCTCGGCCCACCTCTGCACCAGCCATTGCTCAGAGTCAGGTCACTGAGGGCAACGGCCCAGAGGCATCTGCCAAAAAAACACCGAAGGAAACAGTGAAGGTTGAAGTGAAAAGAGAAGAGGAGCCACCGGAGCAAGCTGAGCCAGAGCCCACAGAAGCATGGAAGGTACATCAATCCACATATCAAGCCAATTCACTTTTTTATTTAGAGGTCCCAACTCCTAACCAGGAAAGTTTTCAAAGAAACCAAGTCTTGTACAGTCGCAACAAAGTTATTACTTCCTCATTCTTTCTGAAAGATGTCTCTCATGAACCTATAACATATTTTCCTAAATTATGTTATAAAGACTATAAGTTATCCCAGAAGTTTTCAGGTGATCCACCCCTTGACCCAATTTAATATTAGAAAATTGGGATTATAAAACGCACCAGCATGGTTGATTGCTTTTTAAAATATTTTTCACTCACTCAAAAGGAATCTCTACCTTGCTTAGGAGTGAGCTCTGCTATTGTAATTAAAATACAGTTTGATTGCCTAAGACGGATGTATGTGCAACATTTCAAAAGACTGGGTATTACAGAAAGCAAATTTATGTGGTTGTTTAAATTGTAAGCAGCTAATAAGAAGGGGAACATCCATTATGTGGGAGAGGTTAGGCTGCTAGTTGCTTCAATTCTGAGTTGATTTTACCCATAGTCAGTGCACCAAGTTGAAAAATCACCAATTTAATTAGCAATTTTCCCAGAAGTAATAGTTACTAGGCTTTAAAAATATATACATGTTTATAAGTTTTTAAACATATTTAAGCAGTGATGGAGTTGAGGTGCTAGTTCAGGTTTCTAAAATTAAATGTGACCAACAAAAATTATGAGAAGCAGTCTCGTAAGAAAAATGTCATTCATGAGAAGAATTACATTTTAGATATTGTTTAAAAATTTAAAACTAAGATTTCAGTGATTGCATATGGATTAATCCTGTTCTTTTGGAGCCAGATCAATATCTAATTTATCTATATAACAGTGGGCAATCTGGTTCTGTTTCAACTATATTAAAAAATATATATATGACATACAGCTTTACTGTCCTTTTGAGACTATCCTGAGTTCAGAGAGAATAAAAACTCTAGTGAAGGGTGAGTGTTGTCATTTTTGTAGCTAGCCAAATGTCCATGACATTATTGGTCATTAGGTTCTATGTAAACAATGCTTTTATAATATTAGCCTACCTGCTCAGTTTTTAATGTTAGGGTATATCACCTGGCACTGTTCACTATGCCTCTGTTCTTATATTAACTAGAAACTGTTGGGTTGTGGGAGTGGTCAGGGGACTCTTCTATCTGGCTAACAGTTCTCTGGCTCTCTGCTGACCTGCTGTTCTCCTTTTGTCTGTAAGAGAGACAGGTTATCTTTAAAAATAGGTTCTCTTTTTGGAGGATCAGATATCATAAAGACATAGGGAAGATCAGTGGAGCAGAAGAAGGAACAGGAATGGGGAGGAAATGTGGAAGGAATTTAACAAAATCACGTTATATACATATATATACACACACAGGGAATTTCACCCTTATGTATATGTAGAAAGCACCAATCAAAAATAAACCAATGAAGACTGGGGTTGTGGCTCAGTGGCAGAGCACTTGCCTGGCATGTGTGAGGCACTGGGTTTGAGCCTCAGCACCACATAAAAATAAATAAATAAAATAAAGGTATTTACAACTAAAAAATAAAAAGATAAATGAGTGAAAGGAAGATAGTAGAGTAGGGGAAAGGGAAGAGAAGTGGAGGGAATGGAGACTGAAATGTAGTAAATCAAATTCTATGCATGTATAAAGTGGATATATATAACTCCTATGATGATATAACTCCTATGCATAACTATAATGCTTTAATTAAAAAAAAAAAAAAAAAAACAGGTTCCTGTTGCTCTTGGGACCTCCAGTAAAATGACAAAAACACTCCATGGTATATTACTTTAAGTGCTAAAGGCCGGGGCGAGGGGGGTCTTATTTCCACTTAATTCTATATAAATATGTGTTTTGAAATGCTCGTGTGGAATGTTGAAATGAAACTGAAAACCACTTCTGATAGCCTATTACTGCAGTACTAGTGGCAGAATCAAGGGTGAATCTGAGCTGATTTCATTTATAGCAGTTAGAAAATAATTATGGCAGTTACTTGAAGACATGTATTATATAAAGCAGCAGTAATAATAAAGTAATTTTATAATTGTGAAAATTTCATTATCCAACACTAGTTTGTTGCCAGACACCGCTAGCTTTTTATCATTTCCAGTCTTTCCACAAAGTCTGTTCTGCAGTTATGGAAGCAGTTCCTCTCCCCCATGTATATCTCTATCTCATTTAATGTTCCCCATAGGGTTATGAGTAGAATTACTGTTGCTACTTGGTCTCAATTCTTTTTCTGGTGTTGCCCAGGCTAGCCTGAAACTCCTGGGCTCAGGTTGATCCTTCTGCCAGCCTCCTGAGTAGCTGGGACTACAGGTTGTCCCACTGCTCGTAGTTTTTTTACCTCAATTCTTAAGCTGAAGTAGAAGCTTTCAATTTCCTGCTGTTGGATTGCTGATAACACAAAAAGATATTTAAACGAGGAATTTATGCTTTATAAAACAATACTGCTGTTTTGCTAAGTGTATACAATTCTATGATGACATTATCTTCATTTTGTCAATAAGATAACTTTAAGTTCAGACAAGTGAAATAACTTGTTGACAGCCACATAGCAAGTGTGCTGAAATTCAGAGTAGAAAGAATCCAATTGTTAATTACCCCTGGTAATTTAAAAGTGCTGTAGCTGGATGTGCTTATGATTTGACAATGTTTCAAAGTATGGTATTCTTATGATTTTTACATTTAGTCCTAGAGGAAGTAGCACAGTGACATTGTATTCCAAGGTAATGCTGCTTAGCATGATTAAAAAGAATATATAAAACCACAGGTTGATGAGGTTCTGTAAAGAATTTAATGACATGGCTGGGCTCTGTGGTACACACCCTTGATCCCAGCCATCCAGGAGGCAGGAGGATAGAAACGTTGAGGCCAACCTGGACACCTTGCAAGACCCTTTCTCAAAAATAATAAAGGATTGGCAGTGTAGCTCAGGTAGAGCATCCCTGGGTACAACCCCCAGAATTGGGGGTGGTAGGTGAAGAAGATGAAGAAAGAAAATAATTTAATGATACAAAATGATTAACTTAACCTTTAATTAAAAATCCATTTTCTAATTTTGAAATATCCAATGTTTTAGGCAGTTCTCACTCTATTATGTTTCTTTTAAATAATGTATCTGTGTTTTTTTTAATAAGTACTTCATTTTCTGTGTATAAAATGACTGTTACTAAAGGTATTTCAAAGCTACACAGGAGACCTTCACTATTCTTTTCACTATTGAGGATGAATCTTGCCCTTCCCCCAAACACACGAGCTATAACCCCCTAGAGAGGAGCTGGTGGAGAGCTGAGTGTTGCTGCTGAGTCCTGTGTGTGTTATTTATAAAACAACCCTGGAAGTAACTGCATGTGTCAGTTACAATTTGGATGTTTATTTTGATGTTTTGTGGTGTAATAAACTGAAGAGTGAAATTGCCTCCTTAAATATTTTGATCAACTAACAAAATCCGTCATATTACCTGTTAAGTATCATGTTATTACATGTGTTTTAACTATAAAATTTTTATTTCTATCATGTATAAAATGATATTTTTATTTGTAAATTTATTTTTTAATCATAAAAAAAGAAAAGGCAAAACAAAAACATGACTATAGTATCAAATGAGCCTAAGTTATTTTTAGTGAGTAGTTTTTTTTTAATAAATAGTACAAAAATGTTTTCTTCATTGATAGGGTGAGTACCTGCATTTTCTCTTTTGGTGATGTGGTTGATTGTCCATGTGGCCTGGTCAGCTTTACAGCTGTGGTGGTGAACTAACACGTTGCCACCACTAGGAAGACGTGCCCCTAACACCCGCCCTGAGACTGCATCATCCTGTTTCTAACCAGCTTAAAGATGCAGCTTGTTTGGAAGCAATGCTATTCATGGAAACCTACTAACCTATACTGTTTTTACCACTTTATTTCTTAAATGTAGGTGGAAAAAACCCACATCGAGGTCACAGTACCCACCTCAAATGGTGACCAAACACAGGTTTGTGCCAACAGGCCACTTGTTCCTTTTCCCCTCCACTCCCTCAGTTTTTTCTTTTCCCTCACTCCCTTTTCCTTAAAAATAAAATAGATTGACGGTTCAAACAAACTTCAATGAGCCAATATTTTTTTTTCTTTTTTAAATTATGGCAAAACAGAAGCTTGCAGAAAAACCTGAAGATCTGATAAGAATGAGGAAGGTTAGCCATGTTCACCTTCACAAAGCTACATTGCCATTTCACCCGTGCTGACTTACAATGCATTAAAAAGACAGTGATCCATTCTTTTCATTGATTTCTCTTAATCAGAACTTAATTTAAAAGGACAGTTATAGCCCAGTGTAGTGACACACCCTGTAGTTCCCATGGCTTGGGAGGTTGAGGCAGGAGGACCGCAAGTTTGAGGGTAGCCTCAGCAACTTAGTGAAGCCCTAAACAACTTAGTGAAGCCCTAAACAACTTAGTGAAGCCCTAAACAACTTAGCGATGATACCTTATCTCAAAGTACAAAATAAAAAGAACACACACACCTACCAAAGAAATTATAATCTTATACTATTTTCTTTAAAGATTTTGTTGGTCCATTGTGGTGGTGCACACCACAGCTATTTACAAGGCTGAGGCAGGATTATGGCAAATTCAACCCAGCCTAGGCAATTTAGCAAGATCCTGTCTCAAAATAAAAAATAAAAAGGGGTAGGGATGTGGCTCAGTGGTAGAGTATCCCTGGGTTCAATCCCAGTATCAGGAAAAAAAAATTTTTTGTTCAACTTAAAATATCTTTTTTCTTTTAACAAAATGAAATAACCAGTGAGGTTATTTCATAACACCTATCTTTTACATTCAAACTTTATAATAACTATGCCACAATGGCATCACATTTTTGGAATCATTTGTGATATTTTATACATATTTATCATGAAAAGCATCATAGCAGCAGCTCCCAGTGTTGTTAATAGCTACGTGTTTGACTGTTGTGTGCCTCATTCCTCCCTGTTGCAGAAGAGATGAATCAGTTCTTACTGAATATATTTATTGGCTGATTATAAAATGCCCTTAGATCTTTTTTTATAAAAGATATTAGAGATCTAGATGCTACAGTATTACTAAGTATGAAATACCTCCAAAAAGCTAAATAACGTTTTAGATCATTTCTCCACTCTCTAGTACCTGGAATTTCAAAGCTTTTCAAAGTCATATATTGTTTTAGAGTAATGTTCAAACAGTTCAGTTTCAAAAATGAACATGTAACAGCTTATTACCTAAGAAGCCAATGAAGCCAGGAACACTGTCTATTTAAATAACGTCATCACAGTCTCTCATCATTCATCAATAAGGTCATCCATCTTCCAGCGGTAATCATGTTCTCCGTGTGTCCTTGTGGTTCTGTGACCATTTCATGTTGGCATATGCTGTGCTGCGGACATTTAATTTACGTATTTTTTTGGTTTGCCAATTTGCAGTTTTTTCCTGCAAGAACAACTTTTTAATTTTTTATGCTTTTCTGTTTTTCCCCCCTTTCATTTTCACAGAAAAAGAGAGAGAGACTAGATGGTGAAAACATTTATATCAGACATAGCAATTTAATGTTGGAGGTTTGTATGAACTTGAAGCTTATTTCAGTTGGTTGCCTGGAACCTTCTGCATTCTCTTTACTGACCCCCTTTTCTTCATTCTATGCTGCATTTGGTTTTGCATGCATGCCATTGCATGAAGTGATTTTAGGTTTAAAATGCTTTTGCATGTTGGTAAACATGAAGATATGCAACCATCTCTCCTGGTTATTTTTAGTTTCCATCTCTCATGCTATCTAAAAAAAAAAATATATGATTGGGACTACCTCTGGTAGTCATGGTTCCATTATTTTACCCATTTCAGAAAGTTCTACATCACTGCTTAAAGTTCCTTGAATTTTCCAAGAGTATAAATTTCTGTATATTCCAAGAAGCAAATTGAAGTTTTCATTTTCTGAACCAAGGCAGTGTGAAAAAGTAAGAAAAATTATCACAATTCAGAATGGACTTGAAATATTGGGAATGTAGCTCAGTGGCAGAGCACTTACCTAGCATGAGTGAGGCTCTAGGTTCAATCTCCAGCACTGGAAAAAAAAAAATATATATATATGAAGATAGGTTGGGCCAGGGATGTAGGTGGAGGAGTAGAATATAAGAACGACAGAAGGGAGCCTAACATTTAATGTAGTTACTATAAGATGATTTCATCTTGAAAACAAGACTGGAAGTGTGAGATTTTTATTTTAAGATATGAAAACAAGGGGCTAGGGTTGTGACTCAGTGGTAGAGTGCTCGCCTAGCATGCATGAAGCACTAGGTTCGATCCTCAGCACCACATGAAGATAAAATATATTGTGTCCACCTAGAAAACTAAAAAAATATAAATATTTTTTAAATAAATAAATAAAGATGTGAAAACAAGCGTAGATGATAAATTGGAAAAGGTAGGATCTGAATTAGGGATTACACAACTATTAAATTGCACTGTTTAATTCCTATCTGCTACAGGTCATTTTCCCACTATGTTCAACATTGGCCAGATTTTTACCAGACCTGTATTATTATACTTTATCTAGTTTTGGGCTCCATGTTGGATAGGAAAATGTAAAACTAATTAGGTAAAGGAAAGTTTATGAGAAAAAAGTTAGAAAACTAGACTGTTCCATGTGGAAAAACCTGAAATCAAGTTAGTTTATACTTCAGAAAAATTCTTATATGGATGACCAGATTATTCTACAGCTCCACTCAGTGCAGAACCATAAGAGATGATGAGTGTGAACTCTTACATCAGGGGTATTTAACTTAACTATAAAGGAACTGTAAATTACAGGAAGATGAATAAACATGATTCCTGTCTTCAGGAAGCTTATAATGTATAAACTGGTGAGGAAAGAAACAAAAAGTTAGTAAATAGCAATAAACGATTATAAGTTATTGTAGACTCTGCATAGGAAATAAACAGTATGCTGTGCTAACAAAGGAACGATGGACAGGGGAGGTCTCTCTAAAGATAATATTTTAATTGGGACCCAAAAGATGAACAAAAATGTAAATATTATTAAACTGGAAGTTTTAAGTAACTTTAAAAGACAGATCTCTGTTTAATATATGGGGGTTCTAATAATTATTTAATCTCACTTTTTGCCAATACCTATATTTTGATATAGCACCTGCTATTTATAAGGTACTCTGATTAAAGTAATGAAAATTATGGTCACCTTCATTCAACATATACTGTGTGGTAGGCATAGTGCCGAGTGCTTTACATACATTTGTCTCTTACAACATGAATTTTTCCAAGGACTCTTGGATATTTCAGACTTGGAAACTAGATCACTTTGTTTTAGCCCATATCTGAGACTAGACCTGAAACATTCTGTCTTCTGAGATTAGGAAGGAAAATAAATGGCGGTTGCTGTCCTTTGCTCAGCAATGTGACATCTCCAGACCCTAAATATATTTCCTGACTAGTCCATCTTCGGTGCTTCCTCTTAACTGGAACCTACAGTACCAATCATATATTTGTCAACTATTCCATCAGGTGTGTTATGGCTTCTGAGACTCATGAAGTCCCTGTGTGTGGTGTGCTTTTTCCCCTGGCATTTCACTGACATCCATGAGAGGGGATTTATAAATAAGTGTGTGTTTGAAAATTAAAACTACTAACTGACTTCGGAGAACATTTTATATTTAATGAAATGTTTGGTTTGATTGCTACTAAAATGATAAGATGATAGGCATCAAAAATCGTCTAACCTAAACACAGCCAAAATAATTTGACTGACCATCATTCTTTAATTATTGTAAAAAGTGCCTCCCCACAAGGAAGGTCTCTCAAGTTATCTGTCACCTTAGCATTTTTTTTTTTAAGCATCCCTCTTCCCCCCTTCTCCTACCCCACCCCCACTAATGCTTTGTTCTGGCACAAATAAGGTCGAGTTCATTTTTAGATCTACCGCCTCCTCCTCCATCTCCCAGAGAGAACCTGTAGCAAATATCTATGACAGGTTCTATTTGGAACAGGTCCCTTTGAGATCTTAATTTTATACTTCTGTGCCCCCACAGGTTTTCAGCAAAGCCAGCTAAGAAGGATGGAGAAAGCTTCCTCAGAAGCTCCTGGTTTTATAAAAAAATTATTTTCTCAGGTTCCAAGCCAATCAAAAGCTAGGCAAGAAGAATAACAAATCACCAGTCACTCATATTAAGAGCTAGCTCAGAGAGTTGTGATTTTACCATCGCAGCTCTTGCTCATTTTTATTTTGCTCCATTCACATGTTTAACCCCTCGAATGTGTTGAGTTTTTCTTGGCCCAAACAGATTTAATTTCCACTCAGGAGCCGGGACACAGGGCCCAACCCTGATCGTTGAGTGAGCTTGTTTAAGCTTTTCTTTAGCTAGTGAACACTCTTTCCTTCCTTTCAACTAGAGCAAAAGTGCAAACTGCTGTTTCCCCTTAGTGCAACCCATATTCACACAATAGACTCTCATTTCATCCCAGTAAGCAAGAGATCACTCTACAGGGAAACTACGGGGTTGCCTTTTTTGTGTAGTTTTTTCTTTGGCTCATCTCAAAGCAAATATACATAGGTCATTCTTGCAAAAATAAGGAACTAGAAAATGAATTTTTTGAATGAATACATCCAGATTCAAAATTGTCATGTGGGCTGGGAGTGTAGCACAGTGGTGGAGTGCTTGCCTGGCATATCCGAGGCCATTTGTTCAATCCCCAGCACCACCAAAAAAGTTTTCTTAGGACTGGAGATGTACCACAGTGGTACAGAGCACCCCTGCATTCCAACCTCAATACTATAAACAAACAAAAATTGTTTTCATGTGTCTCACTGGTTCTTTTTCCTATGCTATTTTTTTCCTCTTATATTGCTTTTGAAAAAAGTTTTATTTAGTTGAAGCACATATTGCCCTTAGAAAGAACTTTTTAAAACTAATTTTTATTTTAATTAGTTTTCTTTTTTCTTACTTTTAGAATGAAGCTGTCTCCAACAGAGCCAAAAAAGAAAGACTAATCCCAAAATTCATACAGCATATTAGGAGATATATTTAGCATTATACTTTCCTTGGATACAGAACTGCCCTGATAAACACAGGATTTTTTACAGTCATAAAGTGATGGGCTCCAAATATTGTGATCTCAAGCTCAAACTATTGAGGTTTTTTGGACAAAGAACATTTGAGTCTTTGTCTTCAATTTATATTTACCAACCTATTTTTGGTGAAGTGTCCTTTTTGAAAGTTATCATATACTTACTTTAAATAAATCTGAATATTTCTAGCCCATGCTTTATTAACATTAGTTTTGATCATTTCTTCCTGGAATATTCCTTTAAAGAGCTTGCCTCTACCTCTAGTTGCCCAGTATCCAAATCTGCTGGAACACTTGAATTATTTTAAATTGTCAAGGAGATATATAAGGTATTTGACAAACTCTTATGGTCCTTTCCAATCCAGTGAAAGTTTTTGGAAGAAAGTTTTTTTGTGTGTGTATGTATGGTATTAAGGATCAAACCCAGGACCTTGCACATGCCTGGCAAGTGCCCTACCACTGAGCTTATGTCCTCAGCCCTAGAATGTCTCTATTTCAAATCATACTAAGGATTGATGTGAAATTGTTAGAAACTGGAAACATAAGGGCTGGAGCTGTAGCCTAGTGGCAGAGCACTTGCCTGGCATGTGTGAGGCACTGCGTTAGATCCTTAGCACCACATAAAAAAATAAACAATTTTTTTTTTAAAAGGCATGCTATCCATCTACAACTACAAAAAATAAAAATAATAATAAAAAAGAAACTGGAAACATGATATTCTTTTTTATAAAGAAGAAAAACCATTATGCTCATACTCCTGAGCAATTTTTCAGAGGTAGTAAAATCGATTTTGGAAGTTTTAACTAGGAATTTTAGTAATAAATTCTTATATTTAAAAAGGGCTATTCCTCTTTATCAAAAAGAAAGAACAGCTTCTTAGTAGTACAGTAGTAAAACTATCTCCATTACAAATAGGATACTATACGATGGTAACTCACCAGGGCACAGTCGTTAGTGGGAAGTGGAATCTTTCACCCTGTCCTTCATTTAACAGTTTATCTGTTGCTATCTCCATCCTGCCTGAGCTGAGCCTAAATCATTTCTTATCAAGCTGAGGCTAGCTGAATTGTGGGATTACCTTCTTGGGATGAGGAGCTGGAGATCTGGTTTTACATCATGTTAGGAAGAAGAGTCATAAAATGAAGGAGTGAACTCTTGGGGTTATGTAATAGCTAAAGCTGTAGGGTTGTGATGCTTCACTGCTTCTAAGAAAAGCACCTTGCTTTTAAATTAAAAAAAAAAAATCAAGCAAATATACCATGTTGTATATTTACAATTTGAATGTCATTTGTGGGTTAGTAACATCTATCCTGGATGTGGTGTGTTTTCTACCAGCGCCCAATCTCTGTTGGGTTGCCTTTGGTGTGTTTTTTTGTCCCAGTTATTTATTGTTTTGCATCTTTGTCCTTCCTGCTATAGGATTTAGACAAAAGTCAAGAAGAGATCAAAAAACATCATGCCAGCATTAGTGAGCTGAAAAAGAACTTCATGGAGTCTGTGCCAGAACCACGGCCCAGCGAATGGGATAAACGCTTGTCTACTCATTCCCCGTTCCGGACGCTTAACATCAACGGGCAAATCCCCACAGGAGAAGGAGTGAGTACTGTGTCTACATGACTGACTGTGAGAACGAATGGAGTAAAGTTTTCATGTGTTAGTGGTCTGCATCTGAAAGTCTAGAGCTGAAATTTAGCTTTGGTGCCTCAACAGTTCATTTTAGTTTTAAAGCATTCGCAATCAGACATTTATTTTTTAAGTCATGAAGCCAACCCAGTTCAATTGTGGAAGTCATTTAGATTTACTAGTAGATGATTAGGCTCTGAGAATGATCTCTGCAGCTGCATGCTTCTGACTAGTGTGTGTTTATAAATTGACCATAAGCCAATAAAGCCTTGTGTATATTCAGAATGTGCCTCCCAAGACCAGAAAGTTTACTAAATTTAGTAAAGTCAAAATTGGAAAGGGATTAGCATTTTTTTAAAACTTTATTTGACCATTTGTACAACTTAAAAATGTCTGGAATGATTGCCCACAGTTATATAATAAGCCAAGGAGGCCTTTAAGCCAGAGAATGCAAAACACCAAGTATCAATGATTGTGTTTCAATTTTAGAAGAATAACTGATGATTTATTTTTATCTTTACGAGTAACATCAAACTTTTAATATGCTTTATAAGATAGTGTTAATTAGAAGAAGTCAGAGATACCATTCAGGGAATTTTCTTTCTCTGTTATTATTGTTGTTACTTTTGAACTCCTACACCTGAAAAAAAAAATGTATTTGTTTAATGAAAAGATCTTGCAAATTACCTTGGGCATATCTCCAAAAAATCTTTATCTCCAGCCAGTACACATTAGGTATTTATATAATGAGTGTTGAACTATTCTTAAATTATGTGCTTTCTTCCCCACGAACAGTAGCAATTCTAGTAAGAACTGTAAATTTGTCCTAATTAAAAACCTGCAGTTCAGCAAGCTGCAGTGGTGTGAACTATAGTCTCAGCTACTTGGGCTGAGGCAAGAGAGTGCTTGAGTCCAGAAGTTTGAGGCAGGTCTTTGCAACATAGTAAGACCCTGTCTCAAAAACCAAATAAACAAACAAAAAAACCCGAGAGAGAGAGAGAGAGAGAGAGAGAGAGAGAGAGAGAGAGAGAGAGAAAAGAAAAAAAAACTGGGTTTTTCTAATTTTCAGAATTCTTGGTTTTATTGTTTAGTTTCTGGAACTGGAGGAGAGAAAAGTTGACCCACAAAGGGGATACTTTTTGTATTTTTCAAAATGTGATTAAAATTGACTAACAATTCTCCAAACAGTTTTACAAGTAAGACTGGAGAATACTTGAATAATGAACAGTCAAAGTAGAGTTTCCAAGGATGATAGCACAGTGGTATTCCTACTCATTGTCCCCTCAGCTCCACTCCCTAATCTAAAGGGACATTAGTCATATTCTGAATCTAGGGCATATATCCTGAACTGGGACAATAACCCTGCTTTCTGGGTGAGACTACCCCCTCTCAGTGTTAGATATTTCATTTAGATATATTCCTAATAATAAGAATCATAAATGTCCAGCAGGAATTGTGGCTTGATTTGATTGAGAGGTTCTGGCCAACTGAAGCCTAACTGATTTTGAACAATTCATTTCTTGCTGGGCCCCCATTTATGGAGTAGGTGATCTGGAATGTCCTTGTAACTCTAAAATCTTACGAATGAGAAAATGGCTTGTTGCTATCTTACCTACTATAACCCTAGCTGAAAACCAAAACTGCATATTTTCCAGAAGTTTTATTTTTGACTTTGTACAGTTCAACTACTTTGAAAAAATAACTTGGTGCTGTCTTCCATAATATTGGGTAAATTTGTATCAGTCTCCATTTCCAGAAAATATCTTAAGTCTTTTAATAGAAACCCTTCAGAAATTATCTTAGGACTGGTTTTGGGAATGGCAATGTCATTCTGTGGACTTTAAAGAAGTGACTTTTTATAAAATAAATGAGGCCCATGAGGAATACTTGAATAATTTTGGCTCTATGCTTACGTATATTTACCTCTCTAAATGAGTAATGGAATGAATAAGAATGGTATCATAACTTTTTATATTAGGATAATTCCATTTTCTGGAATATCTTACTTTTTCTTTCATAATTAGGATAGTATTTCTGTCTCTGGGCTTACCTCTTCCACCTTTGATAGCATGGTTGTTGCATTGCAAGGCAACTGAATTCTATATAATTTGTGTATGACCAGGTGAAGAAAACCTCTATCCTCCCCTCGGAAAGAAAGGTTGGTGGGCCAGAGGTAAAGCTGCTGTTACAACTTATGCTTCTCAATCAGAATTTGCTCTTGTCATGGCACTAAGCAGAAAATCCCCCCAGAACTGAACAACAGCTGCTGGATAATTTTTTTCTTTTGGCTATTCTAGTAAATTCACACCCACAGCCTTCAGCCTAACACATTACACTTTCACTGCTGCCGCATTCGCAGCTTTCAATTTGCTTATTTCGGCGCATGGCTGGTTGAAAAGCTGCATGAAGATGTAAATATGTATTCAGAGAGAAAATGAATTTAATTATACCCTATTCTTTTTATGTTGTCTTTCTTCTCCCACTTTATTTTCTTTTAAAAATCATTATAATTTTGCATCCTTTCTTTTCCGTTTTTTCTTTTTGCTGACCAGTCCCCTAGCTACTTTCTCCCTGAAACATGTCACTTAGGGGTGTGCAAAGAACCAGTGCTGAACTTCCAAACTGATCAGAGAAGGCTAGCCCAACTGAAAGAACTTAGAGCCAAGTTTTTCCTTTCATAGATAAGAACCATCTTGACTATGGATAGCAGAGAATAAAAATTGCTGGGGAGGAAAATTCTCAATTGGACAATTGGGGCAAAGAACTTTCCTTAAAATTGTCAAAAGTGTTTGCTTACACCTTCATCATGGTCACTATTTTTTTTCGTCGTGATTCTAACTGTGCAATTGTTGAGATTTTGTGGGTTTAAAATTTTTTTTTCTTTGATTTTTTTTTTTAGAAGACCCTGGAGGTACATTATAAACTTTTATACTTTGTTTTTATTTTGAAATCTTTAAAATGTATAAGACTTTTATTCCCTTGAGCAAAAGCTAATTATCATATTGAGCAATTGCAGTTTTTAAAGACTATATAAAGAGATACGAGGATCACTTTTATATTCTGCCATTTTACTTGTAATAAGAATAACTCTTCTGGTAAGAAGAATACTTTATTATTGGCATTGCTCAGTTTATTGGTGATGGACAGTACTGAAGCAATGAAAAATGGCCAAAGTTCACATGTGAAAAAAAATTATATGTGAATATCCTCAAAGGAGGACTAAATAATATAAGTAAGGAAAAGTACTGATTCCTTGCATTACTAGAATTAGGCATTCTAATATTCATTTATTCAAACAATTAGAGCACTCTACTGTGTTCTAGAAACTTTGCTAGGATAAATTGCCAAAGTAAATCTCAAAGAGTGTCCAAAAGGTCTTTTCAAATCCTTTGCACATCCCCAAGTATCATTTTTGAGCACTTTCCATCTGTCATTTTGTTCATCTTTCTCTGTCTTTCTTGATCTTCTACCGTGAAAGCAGACACAGGAACGTGCTCTGTTAGTACAGGATGAAGAGAAAATTAAAAGGCAAGAGACATCTGCTGAAAGAGCCTTACCCCAGCAAGAAAATGAAGAAATTCTTCCCAAGGTTTCTATTCCAATCCCTGAGGATCACAAGTCTCTCAAAAAGTGCCACCTCTACTCTAGTACTTTTACATCTCCTCGTATTCCCTTCATGATGTCTTTTCTTGTGGTCCTTGCATTAGCTGTTTGGTGGTTGGTCTTTCTGTGATCGGAAAACAGGGTGCTCATCTGAAATGTCAAGACTAATACCAGTGAACTTTTGTCCTTGACTTCAAATGTTTTATCACCTATATGATGCCTCTGATAGTTCACTGTCCTAGGGAAGCTCTTATGATCATTTTTCTGTCAATAAAATGTTACTTTGTAGAATATGTATTGTGGGATAAAAGGAGTAGCAATGGATTGATTACCCAAGCCAGTTTTTCTGTACTGAAGTTAACAAATTTAGACAAATCAGATTTAAGCACATGGCAAGTTGGTACTTTTCTCAAAAGCTTTAACTCTTTTATCCTGCATGTTCTCACTGTTGACTGTTGCTGTGTCCTCACCAGTGTCTCACACAAACCAGGATACTCTCTAGAAACATTTGATGGGAACTTTCCCAGGCTCCTGTAGTCATTTGTGTGGCATGGGCTCTGTAGTTTAAGAAAAAAAAAAAATTGACTTGCTAACCTTTCAAAAGCCTTAAAATGATAAAGTTTTAATCTATAAATCCATAACCACTCCTTTTCTTAGAGTATCAAGCCGGTATATACAAAGGCCTTTTTCTGGAAAAGGGCTTTTGACATCTGTGGCCTTTTTATGAGTATTTCTGAGCTGTACAGGGACAGATGACTTTATCCTGCTGGTGTATAGAAGAGATCTGCAAAGGCTACATGCTGTCTTTTCATAAGCAGAGTGTTGATTTAGTTTAAAGAAAATGGTGCTGGTGTCCCCTGGCCTCTGGCCAGGGCTGAATATCTCAGATTACTCTACCTATCTTTAAATGTCCTGGAATACAGATTTATTTCAGATCTGTACATAAACAGCCCCTTCTCTGAATTAAAATACTGTGTTACTTTGTTATAGCTTAAATAATTACATTGCTATAGAAGCAATATTTAGCCATTATGATAAGCTTAACATATATAGAGAGATATATAGATATAGATATACTTTGTTCTCCTAATATACTTCGGACCTGTTTGTTCCTATACCTGTGTTGAAAATCAATTGTTTTTAATCACTGGGCTTGTGAGCTAAAGTTCTGTTGTGATAAGTTATACGTCTCCTGTTTGCATGTTGATTTATAAGGCTTCCCTGAAGTAAATATGAGCACTCTCTCCTCAGAACACAACTTGGATGCCTAACTTGTTGTTTTTTTTTACCTCAATATTAATGAAACTTTGCATGTAGCTTGCTTTTTTTGGCACTGGAATGTACCAATATGGGTGATTTGGTTAATGTCT